ATTGCTGTGACTCACAGCCGACACTCTTCCACAGCTTGAGACGCCATCTAATGCTTCAAGTCAAGCCAAACATAACAATATGAAACATGTGCTGCTAATGGTGTGTGAAAAGCTAATGATTTGAGTCTGCCACATGTATTGGTCCCGTTCTCATTTTCAGGTCAAACATGGCTGAATTCAGCAAAGATGCTGCCACTTTTACTTTTTTACAATTCTAACCATAAAGCAATTTGTTTTTGATGCCCTGTGCATCTAACTGGCTTCGAGACTACATGAATCACAGAGCCATGGTGGTAACAGATGATTTTAAATTTTTTGCCTTATGCAACAGTGAGGACGGACAAGGACAAGAAGTCCCTGGCACTTTACAAAACGTATTACCCTTTCATTTATTTGTTCTTCTTGTTAGCGGTGGAGTCTGCCAGCCCCGTGCTGGACTCATATTGTCTATTAACACACAAAGGATTGACAGGAGATGATGAATTCATGTCATCCCACATGAATGTTTATAATTTGACCTCACTGATATTAGGCTGACCGTCTACTGTACACTCTAACACAGATGCACGGTTGTATTATATTACTCCTAATATCAACCAGACAGCTGCTTCTAGTTCACATTAAAAACACTTCAACGACACAATGCTGGGTGCCTTTGACTGTGAGGAAGGCAGAAATTTCAATTTGCCGCAGAAAATGAAATGGACTACACATTCATCAAAAATCGTCACCAAATTATTTTTCATTAAAGAACAAACAGAGCAGCCAGAGTAAGCTATTAGGTTAATATCCGATCTCTGCAACTCCAACTCCTCAACATGGCAACCAATATGCTCTCAGTTGCTGAGCAGAAAACATTTCACACTGTGTGCAGCATGAAATCTAATCAGCTTTTAGCTGTAAAAATCACACGGTAGTAAAGAGTTAAGCACAGCGACTGCATTTTGAGTAATCTGAATGTTTGTTCATACTTTAAGCTGTTGAGGAGAGCAAATTGATGGGAAGCTAAGTATAACCGTGTGTAATAATAAACAACATGTCCACAGACTGATCTAACAGGATGTTTGACCTCCTTAGATTGTCATCTTGACTTCTGCAGAAAAGTGACTTGAACCAAAAAGTACAAATAAAATTACCGGTTCATTTGCATAATGAGGTGCATGTCTGGAAGAGGCTTTTAATTGAAGGCCTAAGGTGAAAGTAATCATTGCTTTCAGTGCTGCAGTGAAACCGCTCATACAGTTTTCTTCTCACTGTTAATTCAAACTCAAGCAAGATTATTAAATAATAACAGGAGCTTCATAAACAAAAGGAGTTTGTGTGTGCTTACTGAGCCACTCTCAGTGAAACACACAACTATTGTGTTCTGTGTTTGATGTTCAGCCTCTTTTCAGTTTTATTTATTTATAATACTGTGCAATGCAAGTATTGAGCCACCCCTCATGTATAAGGCAAAATATACGCAAGTTTAAACTATTCCAACAAGCTTGAAAGACTCTAAACTCTCTTAGGCAGCTTTCTTGTAATGTTTTTAAGCAGTCTTTACTCTGCATTTATAATTCCATTAACTTTAACAAAATCCTTTAAACGAAAATGCAGCCCAACATGAGAGAGCCTCCACCGTGTTTCATACATGGCTGGAGACATACAGCCATCTAAAGTTTAGGTTCTTTGCCAAGATGACTTTTACATGTAGACAAAATACTGGTTCGCCCCTTGAGTTAGGTGACTTTTTTTAATGCTTAACAGTTTTTTATGCTACAGGGAGTGCTAAGTAGAGCAGGGCGATATGACCAAAAATATTTATCACGATATACATTTGAAAATTTGCGATAACGATATAACTGACGATATGATTGACACGAGACAAAATACTTTACAACTCCACAACTTTATTAGTGCAAAAAAACCCATCAGTGTATTTTCACTTAAACAAGCAGCTGTTTTTTTATGTGCATTAAAGTTATATAAAAATGTAACAGTGCAAATTCCTCGCTGACAGTTTAACCAAAAGGCATTTCCAGTGGAAACTGGCCGACATATCCTCAGCATAACCATTTATAATATCCACAAAACTTAAAAAGAGGTTATACACACACAATACGGTAATATTATGTTGAAGCACAGTACGTATCACTCCGCGAGGTGCCTGCCTAATGCCATAATGCTCCGACAATCCATCAAGCGGTGCAGCTTCGTAGCTTAGCAAAGTCGTACTAAAACATTTGACAGATTTTCGAGCGCCGTGCACATAAAATCGTTTCCAGGTAAGTAAACACAACCAGAGTTCATACATAAGGCACACGGGATTATAAGGGGCTCTGTCGACTTTCAGAAAAATCAAAGGATTGATTTTAAGTGCGCCGTATTTTCCAAACAACACGGTAATAACGACGGCCCGCTAGCATGCGCTACCAGAAATAGTGCTCTGTTGTGTATCTGACGGACGAAAGCTAAACCAGCTCCACACCACTGAAGTTGCAGCATTTTTACAAACCAATTCTGGTTCATCCGTTTCATTTAACGATCCGCTTTCGCCCTTCTCCTTCTGCGTCGCCGCCATGTGCGTATGTAAACATAGACACTGCGCATGCGTGTTTTCCCATATTCTATCGCGATATTTCATTTTCCTGTCGTTGCCCAAAATTACACCGGTATTACCTTGAACGGTATGATATAGCCCAGCCCTAGTGCTAAGTATCTTAAACAAAATATTCCTCTAAAAATGGTCAGGTACAAGGACTGGACTGAAGATGAGTAAATGAGCGGCCGATGTCCTAAAACTAAACTTTGGGAAACAATTGCTCAAGACCCCTTTAAAGAAATTAACAGAAACTCTGGCTCCTTGGAAGCAAAACATAAGGAAATGAGAGGTGACTCGAGAAATTGGCACAGTACTCTCTTGATTTGTCATTGCTTTTAAAAGAACATGAATGTATAATGCAAAAACATGCAACAAGTGAACCTTAGAAGGCACTACTAGGACACAGAAACAAAGCTTGTTGAAGCTCTAGAGATTGTCTTCCGCAAATGGAAACGTCTTTATAATTCAGCAAGTGCTAGGAACAATCGTAGATATATGTACTGTATATGCATGTGAACGCAATGTGTGATATATAATTTACAATTTCCTATCTAGTAAATATATACAGCATATAGAATTTCCTAGTCTATGTCGTGTGCTATAATTGCGTCACCTAAGGAAAATGTCTGAGCATTTTTCACTGGAAAATTTACATCTGTCCTCTTACCATGTGCTTCGTGACACTTTTCTAAACTTCACATTGCTTCTACAGTTTGTTATGATAGCCATCTAAAGGATTTATGTGCTAAAGACAGAGGTTTGTTTAAATGACATCCAAGAAGTGGCTGATGAAAAATGCACGAGGCTCTTTGACAAATTTCTGGCAGTGCTTGGAAAGCCATGTGAAGGGAACTATTCGCCTATTAAACCCAGTGTTTATACTCCACCTAAAATCTGTTTGTTTCGCTGCTTGTACTTTTCTGTTTATGAGTTACAAACTCCAAAGAAAGCCTCCAAAAAAATGCCATTAAAATCCGCTTTGTCTTTCAAACCAAAAAAAAAACAAAGAAAGACATAAATTGGGCCCATATTAACTACTATAGCTACATATATATAGCAGGAATTCCCCTGCAGCCATTATTATTATCCGAGTCAACAACAAAGTAAAGACAATTGTGCCATGTACTGTGTTCTGCATTTCCACTGAGCTGAGCAGGGTAAATGATAAGCTAATCTCTGAAGTGTTACATAATTGCTATCTTGTAGAGTAGTGGGCTGCCTAAAGAGACCCCTCTGGCACACACACACACACAAAGTCATGTTATGATAATGCCACAGGACATTACAGGAAACTCAGCAAAAAACATAATCCGTAATCCAACCTGAACATCTTTATATCACTGCTATATAATTTAAATTACACACACACACACACACACACACACACACACACACACACACACAGGCAGTGTTGTAGAGAGAGGAAGAAGCAACATTCCTGCTGTTTATCAAGTCATCTGATCAGGCCAGCAAGTCATGCGTTGAAACTGTGTTAGAGGCTGGGCGGGATGCTTTAGGCTAACCCTCGCCCTATGTAGTCTGCAGTTTTCAGAATCTTAACTTATTCTCTCACAGTGCTCTCGGTCTTCATGTAAATGACTGGTATCCTCCCAAAAACACACTAATGCTCCACTTTATTTTCAACAAACACCTAAAGAAGACACTTAAGACCTCCCTGCATTTGCCCCGTTTGTAACGCAAACAGATAAACCATTAAAAGCTTGATCGATAAGTCTGTAAAATATCTGCTAATTTTCCACTTCAAGTACTGACAGTGTTGATAAATGTGATAATTTTGCTGACTGCAATGATCCTCGTCGGTGCGTTGTGAAGCCGCGGGCTCTCTATTACGGGCCTGGGATGGTTAATAATAGCTATCCAGGAGAGGACGGTACAGAATCACGTTTTGCATTCTGGAGCGAAGGTCGACAGTTTAATTGGAAGTGCAAATTGCGTTCACATGTATCCCCACAGTGGATTGAGCCATGGGTAAAGTGAATGCGCACATTGCAAGCGTGTGTGCGTTTAACAAAAGAGAGGGAAGGGTTCGTCCCAACGTATTTTTAGACCGACGCGTGGAGCCGAGCCACAGTTATTATCACTGAAGTGTTGTTTTTACTCCTCAAATCCTCTTTTGCACAAGCTCAGATACTCCTGCTGCCCGCTACTGAATCAGCGAGGCCGATGCTGCCAATTTTTTATTAAGAAAGAGTAAATATTGACTTGATGACTGTAGCTTCCATCTGTTGGTGTGAGAGTAAGAGTCTCGCTCGCTCTCTATCTGCTCTGCTTTCACTCGCTGCCGACACTACCACCACCCCCACTCGCACCACCACCCATCTCCTTCCCTCTGCTGCTGGTTTAGAATCTGCAGAGAATACCCCCGTCATTATATTCACCCTCGAGCCACACTTACCCTTGTAGTGAAGACACGCGTTCTCATCATTGATCTCTCTCTTTCTTTAGGCAGCTAATAGTACTCCCACATAGCTCTATAATCCACAACATCTGGATAAGTGAGGGTTGAGGCCACTTTTTGATCAGCTATCGTGTTACGTGAAGATGAGACTGTGGGAGTGGAGCTGAGTGGTTTTATCAGAGCAGAGAGCGGGCGGGAGGGGGGCGGATGCTGAGGTTTTTCTGACCCTTTTATCCTTGTCACGGGCCAAGGACAGAGTCTTTCATGTTGTCTTTCATGTTGTTTCTTAGAAAGCTTTCTAAGCAAGTGCACAACTGAAAGACGCCACATTTGCACAAAAGCAGTGTTACAGCTTCTTTGGATATCCAAAAGAAGGTACTTTGCCGCGTTTACATTTCTCTGTAACTATTTTGGTATGGCCATTTATGAGGACTCATTTTCTTTATGCTACTTGATTACATTAAAAGATGAAGCTCCTCCAAAAGTAATATCTTCTCTCTCCGGGTGCTGCCTCAGGTGCCTGTCACATCCATATTTTCGATGAATGCCAAGGTCTTAAAATGCATCAGGGTAGGACAAAGTTGCAGAGTGCTGGATCCGTGTAAATATTTGCAGTGGGAATTTAGGTGTGTTGACTCTGCTGCCGCTGACACCGCTTCTCTTACGTGTGAGAAGGAAGGATCTTATGTTCTCCGTTTGAACAAGCACTGAACTTATTATTTTATCCTTCAACACAAAGAGGTGTTGATTTTTTACAGGAATGCTCCATAACATGATGACAGTTTAAAAAAAAAAATCATGTTGCTAAAAAGAATTTGTATCCAATATTGATAACCATTAATCAACACTGGTAGTTAAAACGTTTTTTAGCCTGCACCAGCAGGATGGTACACACGCTAAAATAAGGTGAGGCATGATGGCAAAACTGATATGTAAACTATGATTATTGAATGCTGTTTTATTCCTCATTGTCTACAAAGGATTGGGTGTTCCCTTCTTTCTTGTCACATGTAGTTACTGAAGTGTAAGCTTAGGATGTTTAGCGTGTTGCCTCACACCAAAAATGTTCCTGGTTTGAATCCCACCTTGGGATGTTTTCCCTGTATCTGTGTAGATTTCTGCTGGGTTTACTTTGCCTTCCTTAGTTCAAAGACATGCTTGTTAGGCAAACTGGCTATGGATGAGACGTAGATCAAGTATTAAAACTGTGACAAATAAAATATTGTATGAATGTATGATTAAATGTGACACATAGTAGCACATAGCGCTTTGAGTGGGCAGTATGATTAGAAAAGCGCCACATATATGGCAGTCTATTTCAATGACCACCATTTTTTTTTTTTTATTTACCCACGATCTATTACTGTGAAAAGCCATACACACTGGTACAGGTGGATTTAAAGTACAAGCTTAACCCAATAGGATGGGGTTTTATTAGTAAATTCTTGACAGTACTTTATAATTACCATTTTAAGAAATGGTAAATGAATAGTGTGAGCTAAAAATTGATCTGCAAAGCATCTATTAACATTTTCTGAAAGGTTACAGTAAGGTTACAACTAATGTTTATCATACTTTTTAAGCAGGTAATAAAGACTCTGTAAGTCATCTATAAACATTATTTGGAAGGCAAGTATAAAGTTGTAACTGATATTTATAACACTTGTTTCAACAAGTGCATAATTATCCAGGTATGTAAATCACAAGATTGAACTTGTAGATGTCACTTCATGCCCTGTTTTCTTAACATACACATGAAAAACAGTCTTCACAGAACTCTTTGCCATCCTATGAAAACAAAGTGATTCAATAGCTTGTAGAAGCACCTTTATAACAACAACTCTAATTAATAAGTTTTCGTTTGACTTTATTAGACTCTCACGTTGTTGCAGAGGAATTTTGGCCCGCTTGTGTTTACAAAGTTGTTTGAGTTCATCGAAGTTTGTGAGCATCTGCTTATGCAGAACACTTCAATTGGTTTGAGGTCTAGACTTTCACTAGGTCACTGCAACACCCTGATTTTTTATTTTTATTTTTCAGTCATTCAGTTAGAGATTTACTGCTGTGTTTGTGATCATTGTCCTGCTACATGACCCAATTTCAGCCAAGTCAGATGTAGAATACTTTGGTATACAGAGAAGTTCATGGTCGACTCAATGACTCCAAATGTCCATGTACTGTATCTGCAAAACAAGCAAAAATCACCCCTCCATCACCATGCTTGACAGTTGGTATGAAGTGTCTGCGCTGATATACTGCATTTGGTTTTCACCAATAATCGTGGAATCATAATGGCCAAAATCTCCACTTTGTCCAAAAGACATAGTTCAAGACGTCTTGTGGTTGTCCAGATTGCAACTCTACACCCCTAATCTGTGCTGCCATATAAGAAAGAAGAGGCTTTCTTCCAGCAACCCTTCAAAAAAGCCATATTGTTGAAGTCTCGTGTTTCCAACTGTACTGTCATGACCTTCAACATTTAACAAGCTAACAGGCCTGTAGAGTCTGAGCTGTGGTTCTTGGGGTTTTGCAGTTTCTCAGAGAATTGAGTGGTCTGACCCTGGGGTGAGTTTGCTGGGATGTTCACTCATATGAAGATTGTGTCATTGCGTTAACATAGACATGAATGCTCAAAACCGGCAAACTACCAAAATTTCTGCTTTTATAGAGATTCTCACACTTGCAGCTGATCCATTAATCATATTTGACTGGCACCACCTGGCTACCATTTACCCTCTTAATTCCTGTAGAAGGGAGTACTTAATCTTTCACAGGACGGCATAGATTCCTGAACAACCTTCACGACTGTATTCCATAGAATATGTCAAGTTAGGAGCGATATCCATCCTCTGTTGGGACAGACTGCCAAAAGACACCTTTTGTGTATTTCAGAAATACCAGCAGTTTGCAGCGGAGACCAGCTTACCGTTCAATAATCAAACCTTTATCACAAACTATAATATGTGGTAATCATAAAACGTGTTTCTAAAGTAATGCTTAGATATGTTTTAAGAATTACTTTTCCTAGTCACTATCAAGTTAGTCATATGGTTCTTGCCAACAGAATAATTTAGAGATAATACACACATCTCTGCTCGATAAAAGGAGACATATGAAAATGAACCAGGCAAAGCTAACAGACAGCTTTGATGCTACACATCATTAATACAAAATACATCATGAACACATAGGCAGCAATCACATTTGAGCTTCATTAAAGTGTCAAACTTGGCACGGGGGAACACAGAGCAACAGCTTCAGTCATGCAACCTACTTATCAATGAGTGATGTGTGCAGGGGATCAGCGAATATCAGCCTTTCATGAAAGATACAATTAAAATTTAGACTTCATGCTTTCATCACTCAGCACAAATCCAATAAGATGTCTGTCTCGGCACAACGTGTTTGTAATATTTAATGCGGGAAAGAAAGTGTCTGTATTCGCTAATGAGGCCTCAAAGAAAGAGTGGCGGGAAAATAAGATCCAGGTAGATATTAGTGCACGCAGACACGCAGAAATGTGTTAGATCAAACACTGACACATACGTTACATTGATTGATTTATTGCAAGCTCTGTTTTCCCAAACTTTATGTTCAACTAAATTCTGGACGCTGTGTCGTTTTAATATTTGCCGCAGGGGCTTGTAAGCCAGCGGCGCTGTTGGGCAGAATGTAACAACAAACTAAGAAACACAACGCAAGAAAAAATAAAATTTGTGTTGCTGCAGCGATCACTGGCAGCCCCAAAACTCACCAGTTCAGCATCAATAATTTCAGCGGGAGTTCATATCTCGGCCTGCAGAGACAAAAAAGGACATACAGTTAGAAGGGGAGAGAATTTCATAAATAACAAAACCCTGAATGTGGACTTATTTGGCTGAGTTCTAAAACCCTGCTATACAATAGGAAGGTCAGGAGCTGAGATACAACCACACACAGAGATGAACACATCCCGATTCCCTCCATTTACTCCCTTGCCAGGGAAAACAAAGTTCAGACATGTTGAGCTCTGCGATGCAGCATATTTTCAACATATTACAACAACACTGGCCCTATCAGTCGCTGTGCCCACATTACCCGTCTGTTGGTCTGTTAGTCCATCTGGCTTTCAGGACTTCCACTTTCAAAGATCTCTTTGCAAGAGCACAAAAGAGAAAATAACGATTCTACAAATCATAGAACTGTTAAAACAAACTAACAGAGGTGGAGAAAGGTCAGTGACTCTAGACCAGGCCCTCCCAAGTCTAACAGAAACCATGGAGAGAAAGCGTGCTAGTCTTAGAAAAAAAACTAACAAACAAACAGGCAATCAAGATATACAGTAAACTGCCACTGGATGGATTCCAAATCCAGTCCCGCTAGAATAAACCTCCAACCTTCGAGCAAATCGATATCATGCTGGCAAGAATAACGCTGTGAGAAAACAGACAGAGAAAAAGAGATTTTTCTCCAGTTGGACCAAACCCTACAGCCAATCTCAAGCTTTCCACAGAGATACAAACACCCCGAAAGTTGATGCTGAGTAATGTCTGTCTTACACACATTTCATGGCCTAATCAAGTTCACATCCACAACAAAACAATGCCAGGCTCTGAAATGCTGTTTTAGTTTCATCCTTTTTCTTTCATGCACTGTCTTTACATCCAAGACTTAAAATGTAGCTTAGCTTTTTCATTCTAAACTAACTTCTTCTTATTGGCTTAACGCTAGCATATAATATACCAGTATACACCCTCAATCTGCCCAGTTTTACATTTTAAATAGAGCTAAATCTCCTCTGCACTGAACATGTACATAATAATATGCTTAGTTACAAATTATCTCACAGCCATAAAAGTGTCCCTCCAGTGTACTCCAGATACACCTGAACTTCAATTAAAATTGCTGGACTGGGAAGTCTGTCCTCACCAAATCAGCAGAAGCATCTACAGTGAGATTTAAAACCACATCCCAATATTTAAAAACCTTCATATAGGAGCTACAAATGCATAGCAGTGCAGAGCAGTGCAAGACTTCCTACATCCGTCTGGGCTGAAGATTCCCTCCACATGCATAAATCAAGTTCCTGGATCCAGATTGTGGTATTTTCTTGAGATCATCAAGACAATGTCTCTCAATTTCCAAAGAATTTCAGGATGAAACTCCAAAGGTAAATGGTAAAATGTAACACTTTGTTAATAACACTTTTATTAAACAGAGAAAGAACAAACTGAAGCAATTATATAACCTTGGCAGAAATAAAATGAAAAAAAAAAAAAAAATTGGCAACATGCCATGGGATCCTCCTTCAAACTTGGCATGTTTGCTCAACTATAAACCCATAAAGTTATGTTTATCTTGAATTGTTGGGATACCATCAACTGGGCTACAGCTTTCAGGAAACCAGCATAGCACATGCAAAGTACTCAAAACTTGGTCTGAGTACTTCAGTCTGTAGTTCCTGCTACAGTAGCTGCCTGCAGGACATATGGACAAGGTGAAAATAACACCAGCTTTACTATCAAGGCTAATAAACGTTAAAGAGTACCAGTGATAACAGAAGATGGCAAACTGAAGTCACTTTTGTTCTAATCGGTAAAACTAAAAATGATGGTTAACAATTTAGATCAAGTGAAGAATTTGCAAATATAACAAGGTTTATCCCGCAAGCTGTGACGATGCAGCCAAACTCTTACCGTGCAGCAACCTCCAGCCATATAAATTTCCCCGAAGACACTGATCACCGAGTGCACTAAAGTCAGGGCGACCATAAAGAGAAGAAAATAATAAAAACACCTGCACGCCCTCAGTTAGCCTTTAAGCTTCTTAGTCCACCTCTTTTCATCAAAATGCTTCGCAGTCCGGGTTTAAGCCTCAGGTAAGGGATTGTTATTGTGCGAGAGAGGGTAATGTTTGCCTCCGTAATCGCCAGTCAAACGTTTATGTGGCAGTGTCAATAAGCCAGAGCAGAATTTGTTTTTCTTTACATAATGGAGGCGATGTTTCACAGGCTGCAGAGGACGTCGCCTGGAAGGAGGGAGTGGGAGGCGACCTTCTGAGGGTTTCACAATAACGGGGACTGACGCACTCTTTGCTGCCTGACCACAGCTATCTTGATGGTCGATTTAATATGCACTAGTAGACACCTGTGCAGCAATTTCCCCCCCAAAAAGAAAACGGATGCAGTATGCAATTAAGCACTGCAGAGCAAGTTGGTGAGAGCAGGGGGAACAGCTGATGCAACAAGTTTGTTTCTATACTCATTCTTAAGTTAATGTTAGGGGAAAAATAATACTTTATACGGTGCAAACAAGTCTACACACACACACACACACACACACACACACACACACACACACACACACACACACACCCCCACACACACACACACACACACACCTCACCCCCTTCCACACACACAGGCACATGTTATTCCTGAACAAATATCACTCTGCCTCCGGGGTGTAACGGATAAAACTGGTTTTGGAAATGAAAATGAAGAACCTGCTGAGTTTCGGCTGTCATTTGCTCTGGTTTCAAGGAAAGCTGCTGATTACATCTTTTCCCCTATCAAAAATAGATTGTTTAAAATCCAAAGAGCACACCGTGAATAATTTCACACACAAATTATGACATTTGATCACCCATGCAACTATTTTTATGATACTTTACCACCGTTGTGCTGATTGATTAAACACCGGCATTACGGGCACACGAAAAACACTGTTTTCTAGTTGGCGTAACGGTGAATCAATGACACCTTGCAAAGCTGGGATGGATGCATGCATGGCAAGCTGCAGCTACCACACTAGCAGCAAACAGACTGAGAATGCACCAGTTCTGCATGTTAAATTTACATTATCATACAAATCTCACAGGGCATTAAGCTCCAAATATGTAGTGCAATAAACCAAAAAGCACCCATTAGAGTAAATGCAAGAAATAAAATCTCGGGTTTGTGGGTTGACTTTTATGGCCACTGTGCAGTGTGCACTGTGCTTGTCATCGGCCGGCTGGCTTCTGCTCTGTCCCGCTACAGCTAGCTCCACTGGCTAGCCTCACAGCCGTTGGAAACGTCAATAAGCCCCGCATTTCATCAGGTTTTCAAGCCGCGGCGGCTCTCTGCAGTCCCGTATTCACCTAGCAGAGAGCTCACCGAGCAAAGCTGGAGTGAATTCGATAACAAAAACCAAAAGGTCTATTTAAATGCGTCTGCCTAGCTAGCTAGCAAATGCTATTGCTTCCAGCTGTGTGTGTATGTGTGTGTGACAGAGTGAGGCAGCGAGAGGATGTCTGACTGATGAGAGCAGGATTTGGAGAGTGCCGCTGAGAGCTAGCGTGATGGAGTTTTAATGAAGGGACCAGTGTCCGTCTGGCAGCAAAACAAACACATTAAATTGAACTCAGTCTGGTGCACGTTGAACCGAGCAGCCCTTAACCTAAGACACGGTAAACTCTGACTGTTCTCTCGGCAGCAATCAGAAAGCTTTATGTGTGTTTCTTACGTGGTTTCGCGGTTGGAGATGGAGAGGGGGTTTAATCCGACGGCGGAGAGAAAATGATGCTGTGCAGGGTCCGGGTAGGGATTTTCTGTCTCCGCCTGTCTGCGTGTCTTCCAGCTGCTGCTGCTCTATCCCGTCTCCCTCCGACTGTCTACTCTGCCTCCCTCCCGCCGGAGTGTCCCGGTGTTCTTGTACCACTCGCCCTCCAGTGGAGAATGAACGGTGCTGATGCGCGCTGATTAGGAACCCCTCTTCAGACGGGCAGCCCTCCCCATCCCCTCCCACACCCACCACTACACACTGCACTCACACCTAACGTGCCTGCGCGCGAATGGGTGTGTGCGTGCGTGTGCGATCGCGCGGTGGCGTGCGTGTAAATGAGTGAATGAGTGTGCTTTGGGTTAACGGAGTGAGTCATCCGGTAGAACCAGATCCAGCCCCGCCCCCGTTTTCTAACAGCTGACTACTGTAGCCGCCATGCGTTGATAAAGACAAACAGTGCCCCCCCTCCTCCCTTTGTAAAGTCACAGTAATGCTGACCTGCTTCCCCTAAAGACACAACAGCAACTTTATGACACTTAGTTTTAATAGTGGCACCACTTTCATGTACGGTAACAGTCTTTTCTAAGATATTATTTTTAGGTTTACATAAACTATGAATAACTGGAAATATGTTTGCAGTCTGTGACGCTGTTGTCTAGATATCATCCACTATTCATTTTCACACCAGATCCTGCTGAACTACTTCGTGTTTAATGCTACAGTTCTGCAATTTAAAAAATATATATATACATATTTCTATAGTTTTAACTTCGTTTTTTGAACATCTATGGAGCTGCAAACCAAATCTCTTTGCACTGCGTTATATAAGCTATGGAAATGGCATTAGACTGTATAAAAACAAATTCAGTCACACGAGAACAAAGCTTTTGGGGGATTTTTCTCGATTTAATGTTTACATGTTTTATAATATATTTTGGTTCTAAACAGCTGCAAGCATGCACATAAAAAATATTGCTAGTGTGCACAAGATACACTCCTTTGACGGCTTTATTTGAGATGTCATGACTTGCAGTGCTTAGTATGGAGGTAATGCAGCTCCAAAAATACTGCACCTTACAATCCCCAAACCCACTTATGTCAAAACATCCTCCCGATTTATAATGCAGGATTTCTGTAAAAGGGTTCATATTATGCCGTTCTTTATTTTCTATCATGTCTATGTATATAACGCGCTGCAATGGTGACTGGTCATATTAAACATGAC